TCCTGCTGACAGAGAAAATAGCAGCACATGAATTTAGTCATCAAACAGATTGCACTGATCAAACACTGATCAAACCATGACACAACTCCTCTGTGTTGTATACTACATGTTGCACGTATCTGTTTCTTACAAAGTGAATACAAATCTGACAAGAAACAGCATGAAGGCATCATGAGAGCACATTTCAGTGGCATTGCATAAGCCCAGCAAATGAAAAAGAACAAAGAATTCAAGCTGATAATTTGTATTCTGTGATGTAGGCCCTTATTGTAGAGCTTACAAGGTATTAATAAATCCTGCAGCTGCTGTCACACTGCTTCATTTTAAAATTGATTTGGCCTGTTTTATTTCTTCTATTTAGAGTAATGCAGTGAGATGTTGAGAATATTCAGCCAACAGTAGAATAAGGTGATGGCTTGAATTAATTACAGGTCAGTGCTGTCAGCATTTCCCAGCTGGAGTGCAACATGCAGCTGAGCTCTGCAGCTCGTGCATAGCTGGGCGCAGGGAATAGCAGGTGACAGCTGCCCGAGGGGCTGAGTGGGTGGGCTGCACTCACAGCTCTCTGCCACTGCTGTTCTTTGAGCTTCTTCCTCAGTCTGAAGAACTCCTTGTGCTGGCGTGAAACAAAATTAACGGCTGCATATTCCAGTAGTGCAGCAAACACAAAAAGAAGACAAACCGCCATCCAGATGTCTATGGCTTTCACGTAGGACACCTGTAAAACCATGAAAATCAATAGGATCACTCAGTTAACATTGATATGTTAGGAAGTGACATGAAAGAAAGATGGTATGAATTACAAACTGTAAAAAACTACATGTCAGATGGCTGTGTTTGTTGATGGTAAAGGGTTGCCTTTACTCACTGTTAATTTTTGTCAATCAGTCAGAAGTGGAATCAGACCCAGTGCCACAGACCCCCACTGTTGTTCAACAACAATTAAAAACACACCAGGGAGTCACATCGTTGCACTGGGTGAAGTTTCCTCATTACGAACCACAAGACCCTGTTACGAGATCTTGTGCATGGGCTTGACTCTTATTTACTTCAAACTCTGTAAAAAGTTATGGCTGTTTGGAACCTTTGGGGCAACATTTTTAAAAACTATCAGGGTCTGGTGTTTTGTAATGAGGAAATGTCAACCAGTGCTGTGGTGCATTTCCCTCATGTGTTTTTAGTAGTTTTTGAACATAACAAATAATCTAATAAGTCAGTTCTAACAGTGAGTAAAGGCAAATCATTGTTGGTTTTGGTCTCTGTATGGGGAGTGTTGAAAATACTGTTAATACAGAAAATGACTGGCCATATCCTTTAAACAGCAGTGGAAGAATTTAACTACACTATAAAGTACTCTTATCCAAAACTATCTCCTCTTGTTTATGACGTTTGTTCCTCTTTCGTTTTTTTAAGTATGTAATTTTTTAGATATTTTACTTGAGTATTTACATTTCATAAAACATATGACCAGCATATAAAAGATGATATGGTATTGTAGTTTACACTTTGCCTACAACTCCATCTTTACCAGCCACAGCATTGAAATGCTGCTTGTACTATATATCACTGCTCCAATAATAATAATACTAATTCAATATACTGTATATAAGAATAGTTTAACACTGAAGGGCTGTTCTGTCTGATCTTTTCTGAGAATTCATCTGTACTTTTAGGCAAGTAAATGTTTATGACTTTTACTTGGAGTGGATTTTTACATTGTAGTATTTTTACTTCTTTTGTTTAAACAAAAGGAATTTCTACCATTATACAGTCTTTCAATTTCTAGAGTAGTAAAAAAAGCCCAATTTGCAATTTACTTAATTAAAAAATATAGTTAGAAATTTGTAATAAAAACTAAAATGGTTCATTTTAAAGCAGTTCCTATAATAAAACCTACCATATGCTATCATTTTAATTTCTCTGATTTTATATGATTTATATCATTCTGCTTCCAATAACAGTAATCAAAAGAAAATGCAGTGAAGTGTCAGCTTCATACTATATATGGAGACTATGTTCTTACAGTGACATTTTTCAAAGTTAGAAAGGTTCAACACACACATTAAATCCAATGACCAACAAAATGACTGACTTGTGTTTTCTGACTGATTGTGAGACTGACAAACCAAACTGACCTTTGGCAGGGAGGCCCTGGAGCCAGAGCTCTGTGTCGTCATGGTGAGCACCGTCGTGATGCCCAGTCCCACTCTGGCCGGAGCCGCATCCATGTTGATCCAGAAGGACACCCAAGACAGGATGACTGTGAGCAGGCTGGGTATGTACATCTGGATCAGGTAGTAGCCCATCTGACGCTCCAAGTAGAATTTGACTTCAATGCAAGTGAACTTGCCTAACCACAGGAGGAGACACAGGTACAAACTGACAGTCTTATTAGAAGTTGACTAACAGTATCTACCCAGGGTGTTGGATGGTGGTCTGTGTCATGTACCTGTGTTGTAGTGCTTGGTGCAGTAGCCGAGCCCTTTCTCTTCTTTCAGCACAAACTGGGGAAGCATCAGATCATCAGCAACCTGCACTGCTCCCACATCCAGCCATTCAAAAATAAGATCATTCATTGTGTAGCCAACTAGAAGAGATACAGAGAAGGCATATGTAATTAGTTTTAGGACAGACTTCATGTGTGATACATGCCATGACAGATGAACTCACAGCTTTCAAGCTGCATGGTACAAATCTGGCTGTCCATGGGGAAGTTTTTCAAATCCATGGGACAGGAAAGAATCAGTGTCAGCCTGGAAAACAGAGACAATGACACCATAATGGTACTGGAATGGCATGTAAAATGAACCCAGTAACCATGACTGGACTAAAAGGTGAGTGGATACCCAGCTAACCATTGTCTGCTAAACACCACAGCACCAACTATTCCCTGCTCTGGTGTCACACAAACCCTTTTTTGCACACTCACCCTACATTAATGGTCACATCAAGGAGCTCTAACCTCTCTGCCCAGCACTTTATCTTTTTATTCCACTGCACCCTACACAAACCACAAAGGACTGACAGATGCTGTCAGACATGTCAGCCTTTATGCAGGGCTTGATGGAAAATGGGCTGAGAACACAGCACCACCATCAGTAAAAAAGAAAATGTGGGAGAGTGCTTCTTCCCTCACAAGACTTTGATAGATAAAAAGAAAGAGCATCCCATTCCTCAATAGAGGATCTTTAGGTGTTCTTGCTTTCCTTGTTGATGTCTTTCACTGTCCCTTCAAGTACTATTCTTGTTTCAACAGAGAAAACTATGCATCATCTATTGGAGAAAAGAGGAAAGTGGGTGAATGATACTGGTGCTGCTGGTTCAGTGTCATCCAGAGACACTGTGGTGAGCACTGTGAGGACACTGTTATTATTGTTGTTGTTTTAACAGATTCTAACTTTATGACCCTGCTATTCTGTTGCTTGGTTATTGGTTGATCCCCTAAGGTTGAGGCTTCCCTTTAAGTAACCAGCAGAGCAACTCATGATTTTGTTCACGTATAACAGAATTGTTAAGAGAGCTTTAAACATTCCTTCCTCTTATAGTTTGTTCCCTACCATTACGCTGCAGTTCACTGCTGCTTTAGTGCCACATTACTGACCTGCAGGAATCTGTTTTAGCCTGCAGCTACTGTATTGTTTCACATTAACTTGTGGGCTGGACAGTACAATTACAACTGAACTGAACTGGAGTGAAACAAATATGTCACTGGGCCATGTATTCAGGGCTTCAAACTACAACTCACAGAGGGACAAGTTCACACTCAGTTGCTGTTCTGACAACTCATGGGTCTGGGATTTGTGAGGTTTGATAGACACATCCTGGCACATTTGTCAGCCAGATTCCCAGTTTAAAATGTGACCTGATGCTGTAGAGGACATTTCCATTCTGGAATATCCGAAGCAGTTTGTTGTCTGTTGTAACCTCATGGAAATTTGCTCCCTTTTCATTTGCAAAGAACAGGTCGGGTTTCCAAATGGAGTCCAACATAGAAGGGTCCAGGTCCAGAGAGTCATCTGGATACTCCTTATATGCCAGTCGAGGATCATTCCACTGCTGCCGCAGAAACACATTGAGGCGGTAGTCCTACAGAACACAGTTAAGTCATAAGTTACAATAGTTATACTCACAAGAAAGCAGAGAAATAAGTCACAAGCAAGAAACAACTGGACCTGTAGTGTGTCTCAGCAGGTGAGGGACACTGTGATCCACACAAACACATTTGAAGGCTGATTATCTAAATGACAGCAAACTCCACTTACAGAGACATCAGTTTCATGGCTCTTCCCTAGAGGTGTTTTAGAAAATGCAGGAGTCTTCCTAACTCCAAACTTGAATAAACAAGAAAAAACAAGACTGTCCCCAAATCCTTATAAAGTCTTATAAATAAAGGACAGTATTGACATAGATATGAGAAAATCATAGCTGACATTATGTAATGAAATTACAAGATGGTGTTTACAGTTATTAATCATTTATAATTTACTTAACTTTAAATGTATCTTAATTTAATTGACAGTATGTTTTGGCATAGTGAAACTTGGTTAGGACCCAACAAAAGCAGATATTTACATGTTTATCTGCCCTGTCTTCCAGATTGTACAGTTTTATCACCATTAGACCATCTAAATAAAGTCGGGCTTCTGTGGATTATAAAGAAAATTCTCACCATGGTCGTTTCAGTGATGGATCCAAAGCTGTTGATGAAGATGTTACAGGTGACGTTGACAGGCGGACCTGACAGGAGCAGATTGGCATCACATGTGACAGTAACACTGGGTTCTCAAATGCCACTGATAATGTTTTCTGATGAGATTGCATGAAGTATTAAAACCAGTAAAGGGCTGGGCATTCCCGTTAAATAACATCTGCTTTGTTCCCTCCATAATGTGCCATGCTGTGTGCTTATCCAAGATAACAGCACATAATTGTGTTGTCATTTCCCGTATGCGCCCATTAGTGTGGTCCATCTGTTAGCCACAAAACCTTAAATATTTCAGTGACTCATTTCCTAAAAGGCAATCATTTATTAATTCTCCTTTAGTTACATTAGTGTATTTATAGATAATCATCCAGGATTTACCCAGCATACACTGAAAAGGATGTGGAGTAGGTATGCCATATGAAATGTGATCCCAGAGGCTTAGGATGGAAATATATCAGAGAGAATCTGCTGGTTTCACTCAAAACGACAGATCAGGCATGGACTGAGATAAGCCTGTGGGGGAACATACAAGGCTAACTTCACATTTCTTACAAAAATAAAAAGGATCTGAAAGACAAGGCTGAGGGTCAGCATAAAAACAGTAACAGGATCCTGTGTGAGAACATCAGAGCCTGCAGCATCTCTTACTTCTAACCCATCTGTGAATGATTTGTGCTACCTCACTGCCCAAGTTGCTGTCATGACGGAGGAGGTACCCCACCCTCCTGCACACCACAGTGCGCTCTATTACCTTTGAAGTTCGGTCTGATGCGAGCATCATAGCCAGATGTTCGTCCCATCAGTTTGTCTAGAAAGTCAGATGGAGAGGGGGGCTTGGTTCCCCTGCTGGGGAACTTCATTTCCTTACAGAGCACAGACCTGCCAGCGACAGGACAACAGTTTGTGCGATAGACATGCAATATTTAACGTTTTGTCAGTGTCAGATGTTTATTTTGGCATCACATGCAATTTGAAATGTAAAGGTCTTACATACTGTATACAGAACACCACTCAGATTATCTGTATTGAAGTAGTTTTAAATATCCTCAGGGCTTATTGCACCTAAACTGTTTGATTGTTTAAAAGAGACTCAGTGTTGACATGCTCATCAAAGAGTACAGAGCTCATCTCCTGTTGTTTCAGTTACTATACACCGCCATCAGTGTCAGTTCATATTAAATACACACTGTCAAGTAAACATGCATTTACATGACACTGGCTAACTCTGCTGTAGTTGTGCAGATTTGTTCTCCGCTTACAGGAAGCCGATAAACTCCAACCTAAAAGTCTTACCTGCCCTGCAGAAAAATGATGTTTGAAGCCCACACCATGCACGAGATGTACAGCAGCATTCTCAGTCAGCAGCAACAACAGATGATTAGTCTGAATGAAATGAAGAAAGGAAAAAGAAAAGCTGAGATGCAGGGAACTTGTTTGCTCTTCCAGCCAGCCTTTGTCTTTCTAGACCCAGCTGAGCCTACCTTCCTCTCTGCAGGTGGAAAATCCAGGAAGCCGCTTGCTTTATAATTCAAAATCCTAAGGAAGTTTTATTTTCTGCCCATGTTTGTATGGATGACTTGAAGCTTTATCTCTTGCCATATGCATGCTGAAGAAATTACTGCTAGAATATTTAAAGTGACAGAACCACTTTCACAGCAGAGTGGACCCACGTGACAGCAACAGCAACAGTCTAGCAGAAATATAGAGGATTTAAACCAGTAGAGTTACAAAAATAAAACTATTAGAACAGCGTGACATCTTCCATGCTGGGTGTTCACTCTATTTTATATTATGGTGACAAATTGTTGACAAGTGTGGCAAACAGCATTATCAGTATATAATTTACTAGTGTGCATGTCTGTAGGTCTTAGAGATAGATATCATTTAAATAAAGAAAATCACTTAGTGAACAAAATAGTCAATTAGAAGAAAAAAATGTCAGTGTCATACAAAACTGCAGGTCGACAACAAAGTGCAAAGAAAAGCAGAAAGATAACCAGTTTGATTGTTGATGCATTCAAATGGAAATAAAATGTAGACATTAAACTGTAATATATTTCATAGTGTCAGTACACATCCAGAGGTTGTTTATCTTTTGCAGAGCTGCCTAAAGTTTATTTCATCTTCAAACTGTCAGACAAACAAATATAAAGCTCATGTTTATTCCTCCAGACAAAGGGGAAGGCAGTTCAGCCATTTACTCATGTAAAATTAATGTCAAAGAAAGCGATGGGATGTTATGGCTGCACGTGTTTGCCTCACACTTGAAAGGCCATTCCACACTTCCCTCTGGAGCTCTCAATGTCAAATCTGATGAGAAATGTGTGAAAATACAAAACATGAATGCATTCCTAATGAGAACCACACAGTAGGAAAAAAATGTTTAAGCATGCTTGAGTGTTTTTACCTCCGGACAAGATAAGTAGGCCAAGCTTCATTTGAATGTTGTTGCTAGCACGCACACTGGATCTACTTAGGTTAGCCTTCCCATTTAAGCTAACAAAATGTACCTTTTGCTGAGGACAGATGTTTAATATCACCTCACTCAGTTTTAAGGTTCAGTCTCTATAGTTCACATGTATGACTGCAAAGTAACACACACTGATTAAACCGCTCAAACACACATGAACAACCATAGAACAATTACAGCTTAGAACACAGGTCAACACATCAGTGCTGTTATCTAAAAGCCAAGCTGAAAATAATGGGATCACTCTGATTTAAAAATAGCTTTTATTGCAGCTTTTCTCACAACAAGGTGTTCTGATCACACAGAGGGAGACAACAGTCCATGCTCAGCATTTTCAGCCTGGTGGGGGAAGCAAGTAGACAATCATACAAGTGTGGTGGTAGCAGGAAGATGAGTGATCGGTCCTGAATTTAAAAAAAAGAAAAAAAAAAGAAAAAGAGCCAAACACCAAAAACAGGCGCAGCAGTTACAAATTCCAAATATGAAAATACATCAGTAACATGACATAATTTACATCGATCCTCCTATTTTATATGCTGATCAGTTATCTTAAAGAGTGTAGCAATGGCTGCCAAAGTTCAGACTTCACATGAAGCCCAGTTCCCCTCCATCTTAATCGTCGTGGATGTTGAACAGCTTCGCCACCTCGTTCAGATCTGCATGTTCCTCTCCATCCTTGATAATCTACAAGTAACACACACACAAAAAAAAACAATTTACATAAACCAAACCTACTGATTAATCTGTACCATGACTGTGTATTTTTCCTAAAGAGTGACTGTATTTACCTTTCTTGCTACAGGCATTCTGTTGAACACATTCCACAGGATAATACCCACGACCACTTTGTCTCTCAGGTAGAAGATGACCCCTTTGCCGTAGTCGTCTTTGTGCTGCTCCTCTGTGGGAGCAGACGTTGGAGAGGCCACTGGGCTGATGGCTGTGTCCTCGGTTTCACTTTCAGAGCGAATTCCAGTTCCTAAAATACATTTAATAAAGGCACAATCTGACCCTTTGTCCTCAAATTCACCGTTTCTGCTTTATATGATTAGAATTTTTCTAACTAGCTCGTGACTGCTCCTACCTGACTGCTCTGTAGCAGCTTTAGGCGTATCCTTAGCTGTGGCTTTAGCAAACACTCCTACTGTTGGTAGACTGCTGTCAATGATCCCGATAGCCTCGTAGCCTACATCTGGTCCCAGGTCGCTCCTGGGACAAACCACATGAACAACATGTTGAGGGACCAATAAGCTCTCAGAGCAAGTAGCGTTTCTTTTTCCTGCACCTTGACAAGCCCCTTCAGTGCTACATGGGATTGAATAACCTAAAACTATAGTAATGATAGTGTTTTTGGAGATAAGTCAATATAATGTATATTGACACTGGCATAGGGTCATTTTGTGCCAAATAGTGTCAAGCAAAAATAAAATCTTCCCCAAATTTATGTCATAAACAGTTTTGCTGGAGTTCACTCTTCAGTGTGAAGAACACCAACTTCTAGATCATAAGAGTTTACTGTCAAAATTGTTCCCGACACACTGTACATGTGGGTGTACCTCATACAGCTCCTACTCTAGACCCACACAAACACATACTGTACACAAACTGAGGGCACTTGTCAAATCTTAGTTATGATTTTACTCCCCACCACTGCCCCTGATGAGTTTCAAGCTGGCTGATGAGCTGAAGTAATAACACGGCCACCTGAACAGTCTATTAACAGTGACACATTACATGCTGTGGTCATTCTGCCTCAAGTCCGTGCGCTGAATGTGACGTCATTCAGAACCATCTAAACTTATGGTTCATTAAGATTCTTGGGGAGATCTGAACGAGGTGGCCAAGGTTCACAGTTCATATATGTTTTATATGAAGTATTTCACCAATTTAGTTGGCAACCTTTAAATGAACTAATTGATCACAATGACATTGATGACAGTGCTCTGTGTCCTATTACTTTATCTTAGCTGTGTTACAGTAAATAAATGCACAGCAGCCTGATTTCGACACATTACACTGGCAGTCATAGAAATGTCAACACAGCATCTGTCTACATCAGTTGATGTGGTAGCTACAATAGTTTGACTAGTGGCCCTGTTTTTGTTGTTCTGTTGTTTTGTTTGTTTTTTTGAACTGCAATGACCCCTTGTTGTAAGCATATGCATCACATTTCACCAGCTGCCAAAAACATGCAGCAGCAGCATTCATCTGTGCAGTGAGGGCCACATTCCACTGTGTACTTCAACTTTTGGCAACATCCTCAATATCTGGTGGAGTCCCCTTCTGGTCATTACACAGATTAAGGTCATTAACACAGTTAATACATTTATGGGCTTGAAAAATGTTTGTAACATTGTTATCACAATCCTCTGCTGGAAACACCTGTTTTAATGTCCTCTGAAGGCATTTAAAACATTTTAGGACATATTGGTATTCAAATTTCAAAGCACAATTTTTGAATTTGACATGTGAAAGCCTCCAGTTAGCATTGGTGACAGGAAACAGGAAGTAGCCTTATACCCACCAGAACATAGACTGATGCCAGTATGGTTTGTTGGCTCCCGTCATGTTCTCTCCTGCTAGTCTACCACTTACGACGGCGTGATCGTGGTGCTCCACTCGTCTGCGGCCGAGTCTGATGTCATAGAAACATGCAGCATCTCCTGCCTAAAATAAAACAGAGGGGACTGAATATAGATGGCATCGACTGCAATGTCTAATTATTATATCATGTTATTAAAATCTACTGAGAATTTGTTTTCATTTAAATCAAACACTAAACTCAAAAGTGGAGACGGACATCATTTTAGGTGTCTGGAACATGACTTGAATTTGCCTGAAGAGGGCACTATAATCACTGACCAGGTCCAACGATGCACAGTTCAATCTACTAGGTAAACCATCCATCCATTATCTATACATCTTATTCCTAAATAGGTTCGCAGGGGGGTTGGAGCCAATCCCAGCTAGCATTGGGTGAGAAATGGGGTACACCCTGGACATGTCTACTAGGTAAACCACATTTTAAAAAGCCAGCATTTTATAGTTTAAGTTCAGTCAATAATTTAGAGCTTTTGACCAACCGACCAACAAACATGTTGCCAGGTTTAAATAAATCCATGTTTGTGTAACTGGAAAAACATGGATGAGTCCTTCATGACTACTGATTCCATGACACTCATCATAAGCTTACTCATTTCAAAGGAGGTAAGATATATAATATATATGTCAGCGAGTTGGCTGATGTTCTCACCCCCATCTTCAATCTCTCCCTCAGCCAGAGCATTGTTTCCACCTGCTTCAAGACCACAACCATCGTCCCCCTTCCCAAGAAGAGCCCGGTCACCTGCCTGAACAACTACAGGCCAGTGGCACTCACCCCAATTATTATGAAGTGTTTTGGGACAGTGGTGCTGGCCCGCATTCAGAGCAGTATACTGGACACCCTGGACCCCCTGCAGTATGCCTACCAGCCCAACAGGGCCACCTCGGACGCCATCGCGGCTGCCCTCCACTATTCCCTTTCTCACCTGGAAAATGGAGACTCCTACATCAGGATACTCTTCAACTGACTACAGCTCTGCCTTCAACACAGTTGTCCCCCACAAACTGTCCACACTGGGTCTGCACCCCACCCTCTGTGACTGGCTCCTGGACTTTCTGACTGACAGGCCCCAGACTGTCAGGATTGGCAATAGAACTTCAGCCGGCAGACGAGCCTTTATGTTCTTTTTGCTCAGCAGTGGTTTTCGTCTTGGAACTCTGCCATGCAAACCATTTTTGCCCAGTCTCTTTCTTATGGTGGAGTCATGAACACTCAGCTTAACTGAGGCAAGTGAGGCCTGCAGTTCTTTGGATGTTGTTGTGGGGTCTTTTGTGACCTCTTGGATGAGTTGTCGCTGCGCTCTTGGGGTAATTTTGGTCGGCTGGCCACTCCTGGGAAGGTTCTCCACTGTTCCATGTTTTCGCCATTTGTGGATAATGGCTCTCACTGTGGTTCGCTGCAGTCCCCAAGCTTTAGAAATGGCTTTATAACCTTTTCCGGACTGATAGAGCTCCATTATTCTCTTTCTCATTTGTTTTTGAATTTCTTTGGATCTCGGCATGATGTCTAGCTTTTGAGGATCTTTTGGTCTACTTCACTTTGTCAGGCAGGTCCTATTTAAGTGATTTCTTGATTGCGAACAGGTGTGGCAAGAGAAATTGAACTCAGGTGCGATAAACCAGTGTTTTGACAGGGGGGCAAACACTTGTTCACACAGGGCTCTATAGTTTTGGATTTTGTTTTCCCTTAATAATAAAAACCTTCATTTAAAAACTGCATGATGTGTTTACTTGTGTTATCTTTGACTAATATATAAATTTGTTTGACGATCTGAAACATTACAGTGTGACAAACATGCAAAAAGATAAGAAATCAGTAAGGGGGCAAATACTTTTTCACACCACTGTATTTTTTATTATATCGCTGCATTTGTTGCTGCTTAAAGTGTCCTAGATTTTGTGTTACATGCATAATCAACTAACAACTCTGCTGCACATGCTGCTCCCAGTCCTATGAGGAGCCAGTAACAAATGCCAGACTGAACAATTAGGTTTTAGCATGCTGTGTCCTTTGAATTGCAAGGGCTTTGCGTGTGTGTGTGTATATGTGTGTATATATATGTATATATATATAATAAAATTACTTGAATTTGATGAATCTGAAATGAAAATCTAAAATATTTTTAACAACAATACCAAATAATATTATTCAAGTTTTATGTAACACTCAAACATTTTAAATTGCTGTGCAAAACAATGCAAAACGGTGCAAAAACAGCAAACTGTAAACAACATAGCCTAGGTAGCTAGCAGTGCTACACAAATTTTAATGTAACTATGCAAAATTGGACTGCCGTTTAGTTCAACAAACGTGGCAGATTTTTCTTTAGGAACAAAAGTTGCTCCGCTTTTTGGCTGGAGAGACGGTTCCTCTTCTCATTAAGCACATGAGATGCTGCACTGAAGAGTCTCTCACCGCTGACATGCTTTGTCGTTCATGGGGAGACACGTCATATGACAGCTCCAGCGTGAGTGAAACCTAACCTGGGCTGCGCCAGGATATGATGGGCGGGGCGGGGGCCTTTTCGGGGAGGTTTTTTTTATTCTCGGTGAAATAAAAATGGCCTTTTCGGCCGAAAATTTTTGGTGGCCGAAATTTCGGTGCACCCCTAATATTTTTTTTTACTATATTGCTGTATCTGCACTGCTTAAAGTGTCTTAGATTTTGTGTTACTTATTTATCTACTATATATTTCATTTGTATTTTGTGGCATTCATGTGGACGGCAAAGTAAGAATTTCATTGTACAGGGAAACACGTTTCCTAACTGTGCATATGACAAATAAACACTTTGAACTTTGAACTATATAGGTCAAATTGACTCAAGGAGCTTAATATAAACAGCAACACTATTGCTACAACTAGTGATCGGTTTCGGGGCAGCACGGTGGCGCAGTGATTAGCACCGTTGCCTCACAGCGAGAAGGTTCTGGGTTCGGGCCCCACCTGGGACCTTTCTGTGTGGAGTTTGCATGTTCTCCCCATGCTTGCGTGGGTTCTCTCCGGGTACTCCGGCTTCCTCCCACAGTCCAAAGACATGCAGCTTAGGTTGATTGGTGTCTCTAAATTGCCCATAGGAGTGAGTGTGTGTGTGTGTGCGTGCGCGTGTGTGGTTGTTCGTCTATGTGTTAGCTCTGCGATGGATTGGCGACCTGTCCAGGGTGTACCCCGCCTTCGCCCGATTGCCGGCTGGGATTGGCTCCATGATGTTGTCAACTGTTGTTACAGGAGTACTACCTTGTGAACTTTCACTTACCACCCAAATATTGGACCTTGCTTGCAGCTCTGCATTGACCCGATAGCCACCAAAGTCAGAGTCCACTTCCAGACCTGCTGACTTAGCAAGGTCAACACTGGGCTCCAGGCCAACAGCTGCAATGATGTGATCAGTTTTCACCTACAAGGTGAAGCACAAGACAATAAGTAACTAACTGTCAGTAATCATCTACATGAAATACGCTGGACCTGCACAGAAATCTGAACTTACTAATCGGCCATCCTTCAGTTTGATTTCTAATCTATCATCTTTGTAGGTCACAGACTTCACCAAAGCTTCTGAAATGATTTTTACACCCTCTAGAAAACCAGATGGAGAAGATTGAATAAGAGGAGAAATGAGAAATAAAAAAAAAAATAAAAACATCTATATATGAAAGTAGATATGAACTTTCAGACATGCTAGAGTACAAAGTGGATGTTGACCTTTCTTGACTTTTTCTGTTGTCCAGTTGCTCAGGTACTCAGGCAGCACTTTCCCCATGTTACCCTTCTCGGGGAACATCTGTATCACTTCCAGGCCAGACTCAGCTGCTACAAAGTGAAAGAGGATGAGCGAGCCAACAGCTAATTTGTGTTAAACATCAAAATTCTTCTGTCATTTTCTCATTCTGTCCAGCCGTCTTACATCTCCTGCCGAGGGCACAGGCCAGCTCGCTGCCTAAAAAGCCACCTCCAATGACTGTGATGGACTTCACGTTTCTGGACACTTTGTCCAATGATTTGAAGTCCTCAACCTGTGGAGAAGGAGAACACAGATTTCAAATTTACTTCAGTGTGTAAATATAAACCCATTACTATTCCTTCCACAGTTTAAAACAACACTTTTCTGCTTTGCTTTGTCCTAATCAGCCAGAGGCTCCCACACAAACAAACCCACCTTCATCTTATGGCTAAGCACCGACCTTGCGGAACAAAGTTGTCCTCTTCACCACCTCGTCTCCTGCTCTTTCAATGACCTGCAGATTTCTGGGCACACCACCTGGAGACAAAAGCTCAAAATGACTTCTGCCCGTTTCAAGCCATGAGTGGTAAATAAATGCACTTTAAAGTGGCTCGCCTGTGGCAATCAAACACTTGTCATATGAAATCTCAGTGTCATCATCCAGTTTGACTTTGTTTCCCCTGACATCCATGTGAACCACCTAAAACAGATCAAGTATTTGTTATCAAAATTTTCATTCACTATAGTATGAACATAAATTTACATTTGCAAATAAAATCCTTCACTTCTGGTATACATGCTTTATCCAACTACTGTCATACACTTGTCTAATTAAGAAGTCAGCCCATTGTAGTGTGTGACTCTTAAAGTAAAACAAATAAAAATGGACCTTTTTGCCAGTGAGAACAGCCACTCCCCCATTTTCTGAACTATCCATTTCTTCTGAATTAATGTAGAATGACGGTGGCTGGAAATAGATACTGGAAAACAAATACAAAAATATTACATTGATTTAAAAAAGGTTTATGCATGACCTGCTGAATTTTTACATCTATTCAGGAAACAACTCATACATAAAACAATTGTTTGGTATGAGGAGTAAACCAAGTGACAGAAACACTGTGTCTATCAGGTCTCTCCCTAGGAACACATTTTGTGCAGCACAGGAAGTGGTGCAAGTATTGTTTTGTGTCAACAGTAGTTTACTGTGAATAATGTAAAAAGGAAATTAGCAGTAATAGTTACTAGTCAGTGTTGAAAGCTGAACAGTGATGTGTACCCAGGGAAAAAAGCCACCAAAGGAAGCTTTCATTTTGTTATAAAAGATGTCACAGGACAAGGCAGTCTGACTGTAAAGACCGCTGATCATCACAGCAGAGAGACAGACACTAAGTCATGCAGTATAGAGACAGGAAGAACGCAAGGCAACAAAGTTGAATAAACCAAAAGCACAATAGAAGAAACTTAAATGCACCTTCTTTCCTTTCCATTCCACTGTTTGAAACGCAGCGTTTCCGTCACACTGGGGTCATCAGAGAACCACAGCTCCTTAGAAAGAGGCGGTCTCATGTATGGAAGGTCTGGCTCATCAGTCACAATTAACACCTAGTAGCAAGAATTTTGAAAAGGCGATATGACTTAGTATGTGGATAAACATGAGTTTAACTGAGAAATTCTGGCACAATTAGATTGGTAAAGAACTGAAATCTGAGTTTGTATGTCACTGTGGAAGAGGCTTGACTGACCTTTGCACCGGGGTCTCTGGCTCTAATAGACCGGGCAGCAGCGAATGATGCAGTACCTCCACCAATAAGGAGGTAGGGGGCGTGAGAAGGAACCTTGGGTTTAGCAGGTGTGGAGCCCACTAATGGAGTTTGCATGAGAGAGCGACAGCGTGCGAGAGAGAGAGAGAGGCAATAAGCAAAAGCAGGAGAATTAGTCAGTGCATTTCTTTGCATGGTCATCAGTCCCCTTTATTTACACAAAATACTTGTAAGGAGTAAATAAAAGAAATAAAATTTTTCATGTGAGTGAGATTGACTTAACAATACAAGAACTCAAACAATGTGAAAGAGATGTGAACAGGCAGGGAGAACAGCTGTACTGAGAAAAACGTTAATATAAAAGACAAAATGTTTGAGATGAACATCAAAACAGAAAAAAAAGTATCAGTGTTGTGTCTGCCCACTTCTCTGCTCCAACCAAAGCTGGACTTTGGTCTTACCGCTCTCTGCCACAATGTCAGGTTGAGGTTTGGGTGGCTCTGTTGCAGGGGTTTCTCCTGCAGGTTCTGTTAGTATAACTGGATCATGAACCAGTAAAGTCAAAAGAAACCCTCAGCTGTGGTAAACATACATCACAAGGTGCCCAAAAAATTTGCTTGCTTATAAATCAAGGCTTTAAATGTATGAATGGTGTCATTTGTATTTTTAAATATTACTAATGTGGGACTTTATGTACAGAGTTTACAGTCGAGTGAAAAAACTAGCACCCTGTTTATTTTGCAGGAATCTGGCTTTACCAGTCGGTGTCGCTATTTCTAAAACTTAAAGTCACGGCCAATTGAGATTATGCATCATGCATATGTGTCAGATAAATGCAGGTGTGCCCTCACCTGTTGACTACTACAGGTGAGTTTCATTACAGGTGCGTTTCTTTGTGTTGTTCCAACAACGCAAAACAAAAGGAATAAACAAGAGAATAACAAAGAATTGGAGACTGCAACAATTTTCTGGGAGACGTGGTGTGTTATCTTAAGAAATACAGCTGTGGCAATATTTGTGGCCATGACTGTATGACCGCAAGTCCTCATCAAAGTACAGTATATGTAGAAAGTGCAGCAAAACAAGTGTAACAATATACATAATTCCACATGTACGCTTTTATGTTTTTTTTCACTTTATGGTTCTGAAACAGTGTGCATACAGGAGGCACATGTTATGTATGCATTTAGGTGTACAGAAAAAGAACGGAGACAACCTTGGGGCGGTTCAGTTGTTTCACCGGGGGCCACTGCTTCAGCTGGAGGGCTCAGTTCCTCTGACAGAGGAAAAAAAAAAATAGCTATGAAACTATTAACTAAATACTGATATAAAACATATATTTACCCAAGCGTTACAGTATGTGACAGTCAGAAAGGATGGCCATAAAATAATTTAAATCAATTCAAAATATTTTTTGCACTCTTAAAAGCTGCTGTTTACATGGCAATAAAGAGGAAGTTAATTAATGCACTGCAGAGTCAGATGAGTCTAAGCCACTCTTAACACTTAACCCTCAAGTCCAACAACAAAATCCTTTCAGCCAAGAGTTATGGACAAAATACGACACAAATGCTGTATTTGTAGTGTATGCACACTTTCTTTGTTCATCATCGTGGGTTCACTTCTTAAAAGTACTGCAGGCAAAGTCTGATAAGATGATACGATGTCAAAAATGACAGTGAAATAATTAAAAATGTGACATTCTTCTTTACAAAATTTTATCATAACTAAAATCCCTTAATAAAAACTGCTCACCTGAAAGCTCTGACTGAATGGATACAGCTGTTTTTTCTATAGCGGCCTTCTCTGATCTGGATAAAATTTGTGCCATACGATTCTGATATCTTTGTTGGTCTTCCTTGATAAGGTTGTACACCTGTGAAAAAAGCACTACATTTACTCACAACAAATTCAACTACTATGTATTTAGACAGCCTAAATCAGCCAATCAGATCCCATGTCAGCTTTCAGGCATGGATATCTGAACAGACAGGGTAACATTTTCTGGATGAAATGTACTAAACACCAAACACACTACTTATTTACAAATGAACACTCACATATATTCCACCACCCACGCAGGTTGCTCCAAGCAGGAGGATGTACAGCTGGTTATCCCAACCTCCCCCTGCAAACCCAGTGGACATGTGAGCCACAGGTACATGTACTGGTGTTCTGCCATTGTTCAAGCCTGAAAACAATAAATAAAACAAAACAAAAATTTAGAATAGTCAAACCTGCATCAATTTCAGTCTAGCAACTCAGACTCGCAGAAGCGATACAAACAGAGTTCAGTCAAAATTGCACCATGTATAATATGCATGACTAATACACTGAACTAAGTTGAAAGGTGTCATGTTTGCTGATGAAAACATATCTTCTTCCTGTGTGGTGGAATTTACAACACTTGAACAGATGCTTTTACCATGACTGGAGATGCCATGTTTTTGTTTATGGTGTCTGCAGTTAATGAATGTAAAATAAATAAACAAACAAAACAACACTGTCATCACAGCAGCTGCCTAATTAGGTTAGCAAACAATGTATGAAGGTGACATGCAACAGCTAAAGGAACAGAGTTTAGTAGCTAGGTGATAATGTAAAATATACAGAACACTGAAGTTTAAGATGTGCAGTGTATAAAGGTTTAGCGTGTAAATGCTGCGGGCTGTATGATGTACTTACAAGACCTTCAATGTATTGTGCTGATATGCAAGGTAGGTAACATTACATCTCTTTCAGCATGAGCCTTACCTGACACCCAACGTGAGACACTTTGGTGCTATGTTGCACAAGAACCCCTGTTCTTGTTAATTAAAGAAAGCACTGTTGCACAAGAACCCGTGTTCTTGTTAATTAAAGAAAGCACTGTCTCGAACATTCACTATAATCAACCTGTGTCCTAAACTACCTTCCTTTAATAACCCCCACTGTATCCTTTCTTTATCATAGGACATTGAAGCAAGCTGTAGGTATCGATAAGACCCTTGTGTTGATCTTTTCAGGGTCACAAAGGGTTGGAACCACCTCCGTGATCCAAATCAAAGTCAACCGATATATGGGCATAGGCAAAGCCCGGAAGGGGTACAGTATGTGTGTAATACCTGTATTGTATTAAGAACACTGCTAACTAGCGCTGACACTAATCATATCAAAACATGTCACAGTGGCATAACTGCATTTGTGTAAGAGCTACAACGAAATGCAAGTGCAGTGTGGCTGAATGCATGTTATCGTTAGCTAACTAACGTTAGCGGAGTTAGCTTTGCATCAAAAAAGCCGAAGGTCAGAGCAAATAGCTAATGACTGAGATAGCAGACATTCCTGTCTAGTCTACAAACAGTCGACGGGGTGTGATAACATGCTACAAGCACTGTGCCGTTATGTTTGAATCGAGGCAGCTAACGAGGACACAAAGTTACTGCTACTAATTACTTACCTGCTCTTTTCACATTCTGCCGGCACACAGTTGACGGAGCTCTAGCTAGCGGTGCAAGCTTTTTCCATACCGTTCTACATTTCAGCATTGTGGCTCAGCTCCGCTGTGACGGTTCCCAGTTTACCAGCCGACTTGTCGGATAGGAGCACCAGCTAGATAACGTTAACCAAGACCTAATGCCAGCACACGCTGACAACTAGCACTGCGCTACACACCAAGGCCAGGAACAGGTCATGCGAGGAGTCATGGGTAAATGTAAAGACTTAATACTAGATGAGAGTCGTCACCACACCAGAAAACTAAGTAGAAGGACACATTTGGAAGAAAGATGGCGTCGTCCCTAGTAGTGTAGGCTACACGAGTTCCCTAATGTCTCAAACCACTGGACAGTGTATTTGTTGGCATTTCTGTGCCGCGCCAATAACTATTTTAGACATTTAACGTTAATATCGTTTCAGATTTAAGGTCAAATTTAAATGCAGTTAAACTGAGTGGCAACGTTAGGACCTCTTCCCTTCAAGGGTCTTTGGTAAACCGGTTCTTGTTCTTGTTCTTGACATTTCTAACCGGAGCCAGAGTATTACTGCTGCCCTCCACTGTTCATTCAACATGTACTGTATACAGGCAAGTAACAGACAAGAATAGTTCATAATAAATAGTGTGTGAACAAATTACTGATACAAAACAAATGAAAACACAGAAGCTTAATACAAGTCAAGTAAAATTTTTATGCAGCCAAATATCACAAATCGCATATTTGTCTCAAAGGGCCCTACAGTCTGTACAGTATGACACCATCTGCCCTTAGACGCTCAAGTCAGATATTAGGAAATAACAGGAATGCATTAAATATTAGTGAAACCACATGAGGCAAAAACTTGAACAAGATAAAAGAAAATGCTATCCTTAGGTTAAAGAGTGTGCATGGATGTCTAGTTAAACTAGACGCAGGCATCATTAATGTAAAGCAGTGCAATGTTATGTAAATGCAAACTAATATATGCGTGTGTAGTTTACACAAATTGTCTTTGGGTTTTCACTGAATCACGATGTATGAATATCAAATTTCCCAGCGATAGACTGGATAGAATAAATTATGGTATTATGTCGCCCTCTGCTGGTCACACGCGAAATTTATCAAGTGCAAGTTAATTGCGAAGGTTTAACCTTATCTTCTGTATTGAACCTCATCATTATCTGTGATTATCCGTTGAAAATTGTTTATGTCAATGCAGTTGATTATTCATGATAGAAAATCATTTTCCTTTTGTCAGTGAAGGTTTATATACTTCTCTGCAGAGAATACATTTGAAAATGAAATGTAGATGATTAATAGGATGTCATTGCTTTTACTGTTAGGAGAAGTTATAATGCAGACTTCTTTCATGGGGTGAAAGACAGTTTCACGGCAAACAAGCCACTGTGTTGCTTTATTGTGTTGTGTGTATTTAATTAGTACGTGTTTAATGAGTTTATAATGTATTTGATAAAGTGACTGATAATGATGTTACAACCATAACATTTCATAAACATAATGGACATTTATAACTGTACCTAGTGATACCCCTACTACCTCTACCAACAATACTATTACAATGCCTACTAATATTGCAATCTTCACCATGAATGATACTTGATGTTTATTTTTTAGGCCTACGCCAAATACCACATTATTTATAGCCTAAGCACACTTGCAGTGCCCATCCCTATACTGTATAGGCATTTATACAGTAAAAATGCTCAAAACAAGAGAATACACAACAGCACAAACCTCAGTGACAAGCACCCTGATCCATGATGTAACTGATGCCTTTTTAAAATGCATTTTCAGCATATGTTTAAACTGATCCTATTCATGATCCATAATGAGCTCCACAGGAGGAGGATTAATAGAAAGGTATCTTACAGTTCCTCAGAGTTGCACTCACTGAGCCACAGACCCTAGGAGAAACCATCATGTCACTGGGCACCTACTGATTTATAGGCATGCATGATTCAAACAGAGCAGATTTAATGAAATTATCAAAGACTATGTTAGTGGTGGGATCCTAACAGCTTCCAACACTTTCTAATCTTAATAGGCTTGATTGTCATAGACTAAGAAAAATTACTTTTGTTGTGCCTTTATCTTTAAATTTACCTTATTAATTTTTGACAAGGGACTAAGCATTGGAAGAAAAGCAGACTGAAACATAATAGTTGCAGTGCCCGTAAACTACTTTTTGTCTGCAGCTGGCAATATGGCAGGTCAGCATTTCAATCAGTTGTCCACTGTTTACAAATGACCACTTATTGATTCTCTTGAATTCACAAACCACACTGGACAAATAGATAAATAAACATCAGCAGTATGAAACTAGTAACACTCTTATGGTATTCCAAATAAAGCGTGTGTGACTCAGCTAACTGTATGTTACAGGTCAATACAACTCAATCCTCCGAGCTGTAAAGCCTCATTATGTGTTTTTCCTTCCTACTGCACAACAGCTCTCCACTTGGACTGAGAAAATAAGCACATGATTCTCTCTTTCTCACTCCGCTTCTCTGTCTCTCCCTTCACTGAGATCAATTTTGACTTCCTCATGCTGAATACCAGAACACAGGATATGCTTTGCAGTGCTCTCAGTTTCACAGCAGCAGCAGCGGCGGCGGCAGCGACACACTCTGCAGTTAAGATGAGTGCTGGGGATGTGGTCTGCACCGGCTGGCTCATTAAATCCCCCCCGGAGAAGAAACTAAAGAGATATGTGAGTAGGAGTACACACCGGACACTTGTTTATGTGCTCTGCCAGCAGTAGAAATGCCAGGTTATGCTATTGTGCCTTGTGTTTGTGTGTCTGTGTGTTATGATATGGAATGAGGATTTGGAAACATAATGAAGGGTTGTATGTTGTTATTAAACTGGGCTTTACATCGTCTTCCTACTTTCTAGAATAACACCTCACTCTTGTGTTTTGGCTTGTTAAGGTGCATCACAGTCATAACAGTGATGTATTATGACAATATGTCACAATCTGCACATGTACTTCAGACTGGTATTGAAATTACTCCCACAGTAAGTACGCATACCTACACTGACAGTACATAACCTTCAGTGTTTTGTGATTGTCGGGGTCATGTGATAATGTTGGGTTGGCCACTCATTCGTGTGATGAGCATGTGTATTGTGAAACATGGGAAGCGATGTCAGCGCCAGTCAGACACTTCAGACTTAGTGACAAGCAGAAATAGTCAAGCTCTCTGATGGCTGTTCACACTTCCTCTGTATAAACAGAGGTGGAGAAGGGCCATTTATCAACACCATAATGGGGAACGGGTGGATGGAGAGGTGTGTGTGTGTGAAGGGATAAGGTCTGCGGTTAGGGTTGAAAAATACAAACCTATTTTAGCACACTATGCAAATCCTGCCCATACCAGAGAGCAAAGTAAACATGTTATTCAGACTGTTGTAAGGACAGGTACACTATCTGCCTCGTCATTCAAATGTGAGGTACTGACACATGCAATTATGGAAATTTCAGTTATCTTGGTCAAATTAACCTCAGTGCGTGATGTTATCAAAACAGAAGTAATTAAGCACACATTAAAGAAAAAGCTGTGGTGGTCTTCGCAAAGGTGTTTGTTGACTTTGACTCCATTTTTATTGAGATATACAAGTAGGCATGCCAGTTTTTTTAATATTTACTGAAGGTAAAAGAAATACTTCATGTGCCATCCACAGTGTTATTACTGTTTTTATAGTTTTTTTTGTTTGTTTGTTTGTTTGTTTTGTTTTGTTTTTTTGGCTGTTCATTTGCCTCACTACTATATTTTAGGAAATATATTTTATATTTAAGCCCTCTGTTTCTGTTTTTCATAAAATTTCATCAAAGGAGTAGTTTCCATTCCTCAGTGTCACAGTGACAAAGGAAGAAAGTGAAAGAAAAACTCTTGATTGAATTCGGTCATAGAATTGTTGACGTTATAGTTGTATGATTTTTCAGAATGGGCATTTTAACCTGCTCATATATAAGCCCTTTTCACAGAAAACATTTTAACATGTCACAGTAGGAAAAGCTAAAGGAATGAGTTTCAGGTCAGTGCACACAGCGCTCACTGTCATATTGTCAAGACCTACTGGGAAACTTGAATAGGCCAAAGTCATCATTAATATTATTAGTAACACCAGTGCTTTTCCTGCTTTGACAATTCAAAATGCCTGCTGAGCTTGCTTAGTTTTCATCATCTCTGACCTCCTGTTTTCAAATAACCAGAGCTCCATCCTTAGGCTACATGATGATGATGATTAAACAAACTCCATGAGATGTGTCTGAAAGCTTGAGAAAAAGTCTGTAAGCAGCTCACAGGGACTATTTTCAAAATTTTTAAAATCAAACCTCAGCTTCTTTGTTTGAGAGTTTCAAATCCATTTTAGATAGCCATGTTTTTGTGTTAAACATATATGATACCCACAACAGCACAAGTTTCATATTCAGAACATCCATTGGATCAAATGAGCATCTGTCTAGTTACCATTTCCCCTTAAAACCTGCACTGCTACTGGCTGTGTGGTGTGTCTAACCATTTCCTGGCATGAACACATAAATTACCAACTGACTTGTGCAGCAGCAGATTACCCACACACAGAAAAAGTGTTGTTTGTAGGTTTCATTACACTCAATAGAAGAAGCTCCACCCTGAGTACGCAGAGCCACAAAACCAAATGTGAGAATGATTCTATCAGCTATATAATGAAATTTGCTACCTTCATGACAAGAATGATTTCCATTATCTGTTCAGTGGCTCAGGCATTACATGTTACAGGTGCCTCTTGCATCTACTGCGTAAATACCTCTTAATAGTTTCAGTAGGAATATTTCAGTGCAGTGACCATGGAGTGTATAAATATCTCTTCTGTTGTGTTCAACATTTTCTGCTAAATACAGTGAACTTCCTCTTCTCTATACTTCTGGGAAATTAAAGTGGAGGTTATGCTTATTGACCATATCAAATGCACAAAGTTGCTAAATTAGCTGTTGCGAGAAGCTGTGATCTAATTATCATGATTTGTCATGACTTATACAGTTGTGTAGGGTGGAGGTTACTGTTGGAACTATGAAGAATTAATAATATAAATAACTTTATAATCTATGTTAAAATATAGGAGTAACTCATGATCAGCTGGTTGTTCCTTTTTCCTGCAGGCATGGAGGAAACGCTGGTTTGTGCTTCGCAGAGGTCGCATGAGCGGTAATCCTGATGTGCTGGAGTACTATCAAAGTAAGAACTCCAAAAAGCCAATCCGCACAATTGACCTGAAAGAGAGAGAGGTCGAAATGCTGAACGGGGAAATCAGGATAAAGAGAGACTTCAATGGGAAACATCTCTTTGTGGTGAAGACGTCATCTCGCGTTTTTTACCTGGTGGCCAAAACTGAGGAGGAGATGAACAGCTGGATCAGTAGCATCAGTCAGATTTGCCACTTTGGGAGCCTGGAGGATGCGGGTAAATACACATAGTATGGTATTCATTTTGAAATGTGTAAAAGCTGCACTTGGCAAGATGTTTACTTCTGAAGGATACCTGTCTCACTGAAAACCACTAACTACTGGTGTAGATTTTTTCATACTGTCCCCACACAGGAAGTGAGAGCCTGAAAATCAAACTTTAAATTGAGGTCAAAACAAATTGTTCATTTTGTGCTGTGTGGTGTTGCATCACAGATCAGTCTAAAGGTGATGATTATTGCTGCCATGCATAGTTTTCTAATATTAAAATCCTTATCTTTCTTTTATATCTCGCTTCCATTTGCTGTCAACATCCAAGTGTAGCTTTAACTAAGTATCTGCATAAATTTGCCATGTATTCCAGGCATTTTTCAAATGATTAGCAAAATATATGTCCTGGTATGATAAAACTTTAAACCCCTACTGCAGAAGTTTACTTAAACATCAAAACTACATAGATTGTCCCCAAATTGGGAATGGAAAATTAACTGTAATACAAAAGCCCTGTAAGCAAACATAGCAAACAGGTCCCAAGTGGTGTCATCCTCTGCACTCAGGCTGTGTCATGCTGCTCTGCAGAACCAGTTCAACCCAAGGGGCTCAATGTCTATCACCTTTGAACTTTACACATATTCATCCAGGCCACATGCTTCATGCTCCTAACACAACTTGTATAACACACTCAATGAAGTTTAACTCTTACTCAGCTGTGTTGACACTGAACTTTAAGATCTAAATAATAATTAATCTATTTATATCTGGCAGTGTAAGAAAAGCTGATAAATTTCTCTGTAACTGAGTTCTGAAACCCACTAACTATCACTCATTATCACACTGTGGTTGAAACCAGATATAAATCATATCTGTCCCTTGTTCTACAGCAGCAGCAGCAGCAGCAACAGCAACAACAACAACAACCACAAGTTGTACTTTAAAATTTTAATATTACAAATATTTTCCTTACAAGTTGTACTTTAAAATTTTAATATTACAAATATTTTCCTTACAAGTTGTACTTTAAAATTTTAATATTACAAATATTTTCCTTACATTCCTTTGTTCTTTCCTCTCTAAATTTCTTAAAATTTTACATTTTTTAAACTAGATTTTCTGTAAAAGGGTTGCTCCAGTCACGTAGTGCATGAGTGGAGCTCACATTTTATCACAGGAAATTACAATACTTGGCCAAAAATAGCCATAACATTTAAAAAATTTTTTTGCACACAATCCCCAACTAAAACCACAGTTGTGTTTTTTTGATTGTTTGTTTGTTTTTTGTTTAGCTTTTGTTGTTGCTGCAGCGTTATATGTTTTAAGATGTTCCATATAGTAATATTGTTGTAGCTGTTACCACAGCCTAATGTTGACAGCAGATTGACAAGGAGCTGAGGTCATATTCTAATTAACATATATATAAAGAGATTGTAGTATTTCTTCCGTGAACGTGCTTTGGGGCTGAATTAGATGTCACTACATGCTTACTTTTATTGCCTTTAATTGGCCTGTGACCACTGTATTTTTATGGTTATTTTTAATTGTACCTTTCTTTTCAGGATGATGCAGATTTGACCTTTGCTTTCCTGTTGGTTAAATGCATTAATTTCACCGACAGCTTTCTGTTAGAACATTGTCATCTGTGTGGACCAGATAGAGCAACAGCACAACAGTGCTGATATGCTGGTCTACATGTTACCAGAGAAGCACATGCCAGTAGTTGATTATAATGAAAAATTAAAAACGAATCAAACATATAATCCACACACAGTGACACAGAGTATTGCTGCAGTTTTATATAATTTTAGAATAAATATCTACTGCTTTGCTTAAGGGTTTTCAGAGAAAGCAGGGCAGCAGATCCTGGAATCTCAAAAGGGTTCTGCAAGACAGCATCTCATAACTTTTGCAAGAGAATATAAAAAGGTTGTTCTGTACCCACAGGAGAGCACAATCATCTATTAAGAGTAGCAAATGCTTCATGAGAACATGTAAAGACCACATGATTCTGAAGGGACAGCCTTGACTCAGTGGCCTTGAGTGAAATGGAATGAAACAAATTTCTGAACAAGAGCCAACCTCACTAAAGAGTGAAGACTATATAAACAAAAGCAGGAACAGGGCTGACATGTGTCTAGTCTGACTGTGCCTGCAAAAAGACTATTTCTCTTTTCAAATTCACCTGCCTCCATTTACACTATATTGTTATTTTGAGTGCAGGCTGGGAGAAACCTGCGTATGTGTTTGTGTTTGGTTTGCATGGTTTAGCTATCCTTTGGTGTTGTGCTGTGATGGCAGTTTTCTTATCACTCCTTTGTGGTTGTAACATTTCAGAAACCACATGCTCTCTGTGCTCCTTGTTCTCAACAGAGGGCTCAGAAGAAGGCTCTCCTCACACCCCCACCTCCGTTCAGCTGTCACCTGACAGCTCTGACCAAGCATCTCTATCAAGCCAACTAGATTCCAGTCATCCACTAGACTACCTCTTTTTGTCACAATGTGAGACAGGGAGTTTACACATTAGTAGGTATGTACAATCTGTAAAAACCTGGACACAAGATGAAATGATGGCAATGCTTTATGTTTAATAAAAACAGTGTTTTCATTTTTTCTCTATCTGTAGACATGACAGCTGTTCAAACTCTGAGATCTCTCTGGAGCAAAAGTCATCAGACGATGCTGTCAAGGAAACCGTCCCTTCACCACTTTGCTCCGATACCTTTTCATTCTCCATCTCTCATGCTAGCCCCAGCCCATCTCTTTTCTCCCTTGTAAAGTTAACTAACCCACCTTTCAGCGCTCCATGCATCTCCATGGCTATACCGTCATCCTCTTCCTCTCCATTATGTTGCGGTGACACAAGTGTCTTCCAGTTTGACACACCTTATTCTTCAGCATCATTTGAGGCAATGAGTGACCGACAAACACCCCCTCCGCTGCCACCCAAACCTAATCACCCCTCAGAGCAGCTAAGTGAGGAAAGAGCTGACAGGATGAGGGCAACAAGCATGCGGCATTTCCCAAGCCATGCTGCATTATTTCCCCGGAGGACCTCTTGGTCAGGCCTGGACCACTCTGGAATAGGTATGTCCATAATAGGAAAGCAGTCTCACAGTAGGAATAATACAAAAACTGAGAAAGCTACATACAACAATATTAATGATAATCCTGGTGCTCTTGTAATAGGGAAGCAGATATATGTCTAAAGGAGCTCATTGTAACTGCTGAGAAAGTAAACATCATTTTTAATTAATGCAATTTTTTTTTTTTAGGAGATGCTGAAAACAGATTGATAAGAAACAGAAGGCAGAGTCTTAATTTGGTAAGAGAATCATCAGCAGCAAATAAATCACATTTGTATTAGCTCATGCTGATAGTGCTTTCATGTCTGTACAGTAAAGAGGAAGCTTGAACCAGCTGCTGGTTAGCCTAGTGCAAAGACTGGAAACTCTCAGCTTCCTTAACTAGTATGTCTTGTTTGTTCAATCCGTAAAAAACTGCAGCAACAACAAAAGCAAAACAAAAAACAAACAAACAATCAAAAAACCACAACTGTGGTTTAAGTTGGCGGTTGTGTGCGAAAAAAATTAAAATGTTATGGCTATTTTTTGCCAAGTATTTTAATTTCCTGGAATCTAGTTTGGGGCTACAGCTAGGAGATGGCTAGCCTAGCATAACAAGGTTTATGCACCCGGGCAAAAAACTGACCTGCATATAACCTCCATTAAATCAACCAACTGTCATTTTTGCTATTAATTTTTGTCACAGCATAAAGAAACAAGATATAAAGTTTTAACTATTGAATGGTGGCAGGCTGACTTTTTTACCCTAGGACTTAGCCAGGCCAGCTGTTTCTCCTTTTTTAGTCTTTGAGCTAAGCTAAGCTAAGCTAACTCGTTTTCTATTTCTTGGACAGGCATGAAAGTGGTATTGATTTTCTCATTTAACTCTTGGCAAAAAAAAGCCAATAAGTGCATTAATGTCAAACTATTCCTTAAAAGCCACTGTAGGATTTAGAGAAGGCACAATTTTAGTGCCCCTAATTAGTAGTCTCGTTTTTTACAAATAAAAACACATGCCATCGGAATCATATGAAAGATGATGATACACATGCATGTTAAATACACAGTGGCTTTTAACTAATGTTCCATTTGTACCTAAATGACAACATGGTTCAACTGTCTGATCTCATGAGCTTTGGTCTTTCAACAGCCTTGTTTAAATACCACACGAGTTCAAATCTACCAGGATGAGTCATATGTTCCCATGGCTTCCCCTTCTCCCTCTATTACCACTGTTGAATGTGACGATTACATCCCAATGAGCCCTGGCACATTCAGCTTTCTCAATACAAACTGCAATGCTGAGTCCTCTGCGCCTCTCAGGCCACTAATGTGTCAACCTGGAGATCTCGCACCACCTCCAATTCACCGGCATCTTAAGCCTCGATTGAGGAGAGGTGAGAGTATAATAGCCTTGATTGGTTCATGTTAAATGTTTGGCATTGTATGGAAAACTGAGCTTTTATTTAATTTCTGTCTTGGGGCAGGCAAGATGTTTTTGAATGTGTGGCGTTTGATGGACTTTAAACCGGGTGTGCAGAAAAATGACTGAAAGTGATGATTTAAATGTCCTTATGCTTCCACTTTGTTTCATGCTAATTCATTAGAAATACCATTCCAGGATTTATGCAGACATTTGATACACAGAACCTTTCTCACAGTGATCTCTACTACTTGTCACAGTTTGAAAACTGGCATTTTAAGAGAATTCTAACCAGTCCACTAACTCAGTCCTCTTATGGTTCACAGCTCGACCCCCACCTCTTGACTTGACAGGCCTTTCTACAATCACAGAATGTCCCACTCATCTTCCTTTGAACAGAGCAATGATCACATCATGGTGAGAGAAAAAAGTGCTTTTATCCTCATAGTTGTATCAAAAACAAAACACTAAAAATCTAATTTGGTAATAAATATCCTTACCCAGCTGATTGTATTTTTGGTTTATTCTTTCTACTTGATCTATGTGATTGTAAAACTTAGTGTTTGGTTGCTAATCTGATAAAGTCCTCCTATTTTATTGTGTAATTGCAGTTTTTCAGAGAACTATTCATCTTTCGAAAGAAGACTTGAGAATGCTGACAGTCCAAGAGATAAAGATACTAATTGCACTGCAATGGTAAGATTGCTATTCACAATGATGAAACCCCATTTTAAACAATATTTAGAGTGTGTAGTGTTTAGACTGATTTGATTATGCAATTTTAATAACTATCATGCTTGTTTTTCCCTCTATTCAAAACACAAGGAGGCCTTTGACTGTGCATTTTTCAGAATAAGTAGGAGCAGAGAGAGAACCCAATTACTCAGTTGTGTTTCATTCAACAAACCATAAAGATAGCGTGCATTATGACCTGGCTTTCATGGCAAAAAGAGATGCTGGATTTAATTTTCTTTCTTCTTTACTGATTATAAGTGATCACTGGAAGTTGCTGTATGGGTAATGTACTTTTACTGTGTAGCTCATTAAATCAGCCCATTGTCATCTAGTTTCTACATATGAATTATCCCCTTTTCAGAGCTGGCCCTAAAAACTGTAAAATAAAATTTAGTGGAATTTGGTGTCATTTTCCTCAGTATAATGTAGATGTGTGTGATTATATCGGGCAGATTTGTGTATGTAGAAACACAATTTACTGTAGGTGTCTGTTTTACATAACACTAAAATAAACAAAATCTGACATTCCTATAACTGTATAACCATTAGTAAGTGGAAAAATGTTGAGCACAGATAAGAATGTGGGTGTGGAGAGTGACCGCATGTTTTTAAAATGCTCTGATAAGCAAACTGCAATCCTTCCAGTCTATGAGCATTTGGAACATATGATTTAGTGATAGGCTTCTCTTGGAAGTGCTGAATGTTGAATTCATTTTCCAAGAAAAAGTTTTAATAAAACTGTATTAGTCAGGTGTTGTTGGGCTTAGTGTTCTCCCGCATCTCTGGACACAATAGCTTCCTTCATTTTCCTAAACTCAATCTGAAAAAGAACAGTTTACGGCCACCTTTTTACTTAGTCACCTATTGACTAGTAATCATTTTGCAAAATCACCATTCATTTCTTCCTTTGACAGGAGTCAAGTCGATGGTTCAGTCTCACCGTTGATGGAGCAGTTCAGCCATGGGCAAGAAGCTCAAACCTCGACTATCTGTCATTGGATTTCAATTCTGCATCACCCTCTCCTGTGCAGAAGGTATGATTTGTTGTATGATCATTTCATACTTGACAGAAAGAAGGAGACTTCCTGATTTTGTTAACTGGAACAGTTAACCTACATCACCTAAATGGCGAGCTTTGAATGTTGCAGAGGCATTCAGAGAAGCAAACAAAACCACTGCCTGAAGCTGTGAAAAAACACCAGATCAATGGTCTTTGACAATGAAGGATTTTTCTTTTAACTTACCACAGCTTAGCCAGCAGTGGTATATCATTACAATCACTACCTACTATTAGCTCTGCTGACCCTTGTTATTTCTATTCAAATAATCAAATCAGTGTTTAGTTCTAGAATAAAAAATTCTAAACACCTTGCTTTGTAAGCAGTGAGATAAAAACCCACACTCTATGAAGACTTGTTACATGTGATATTGTGTTAAGGCAGTTTATATAAGATTGATGCTATTATATAATGTTGTGCAAAGCATCACTTTCAATAAGAAATGCATGATGTGATCCCAAAAAATTTGTAAATTAAGATTTCTACAGTACACTTAGGAGCATCAGTAGTTTAAATACATTAAGTGTTTGTCTGTACAGGTAGACTGTTCTTACAATTTACTGTAACCCCATCACATCACTGTCTCATCATCTGTCCCTCTCTGTGTCTAGCAGAAGCCCTTTCTGTCTGATGAGTACAGAGTGGATTACGTACAGGTGGACGAGAAGAAGACTCGGGCGCTGCAAAACACCAAAATGGAGTGGACAGATGTTCGTCAAAAATATAAATGAAAATGATATGATGAAAAAAATCTGGGACAGTTTGGTTCAAGAAAAGCAATAATACCAGCAAAGCAGACAGATATGAAGAGGACCAGCAACAATTTAAAAGGACTATAAAAACCGCCAAAAAAAAGAGAGAGAAAGGACCAGAGAAAATAAGCAGCTGCTTGTTTGCGTACTGGAAGCACAAAACTGCATTGTAAAAAGTTAACTCTTAGCAGATGCATTAAGGTTGCCAATCATGCACTATTCACTGTGATTTCTACTGTAGTTTAATGTTTTACCAAATTTTAAAAGGGGTATCACACTGCTTCTTTGTAAAAATGAAAGACACTTAATGTAAATGTATGTATAGTTATTGTGACTGTAAAGAAGAAAGATTTTAATGACAAAATACTTTTGTAATATTTCTCTCCCTCATTATGCATCATGACCAGAAATGATCCATCCTGAGTTTTCTCCTTCTGTTAAAATCCTCCCGGGGCTGGTAGTTTGAGTTTCATAAAGGCTATAAAATGACTCAAAGCTATTTCTCAATAATGCATGCAGCATTCTCTGCATTCTGTGTGCAGAGTTTCTTGTGCTACTAAAATAGCTGTTCATTAAAGTGCAAACCTTTGCTTTAAAACTGTTACACCTGGGTGGAAAATAGGCAGCAAAATAAGCAAAGGATTTTATTGTGTAATGTAATCTGTATAGTGTAATGTACCCACTTGAATGTTGACATTTCCACAGTGAACACAGACATGCTTGTCATGGATTATCCCTTAGCTACATACAGGTCATTATGTACAGTATAGCCTACACTTTGAATATCTATATATGATATCTTTCCATTCACTTCAAAATGGTGTTTGTGAAAATACTGAACTTCATCAATTACAATGAATGTTATGTAGTTTTTAACTTTAAAAAGATGATTGTTTATCTAATTACAGATGTATAATATTATGGCAATTTCAAAATTGTGCTTTTTAAAGACATGGGGACTCATATTTTAGCAACAATTTTTTAAAAATATTTGTAATAACATTAGCAATATTTCTGGTAAATACTGCCCCATGTGCATTTTGGAGAAAGACCTTTTCAGACACTACTTTGAGATAAAATAATATGTTTTTATTAAGTTTTAAAAATGATTTTCTAAAGAAACCTTATTAATCAAAATGAATTTTCATTTTATCGAAGTCCCAGTATTAAAACTGTAAATGGACATTAAAATCAAATTTTATGAGAGGAAAAATATAATAGAAAGGACAACGGCACAAATATAAAGTCATACAATCAATAACATAATAAAATAGAGAAACTGGATTTCAAAAATGTAGCTACTGTATAATATTCTGTTTGGATTACATTTAGGAGTTTTAAAAAATATGGAAAATTGTTTAGAAAAAATGAATGCTAGTAATCCTTTAGAAGAATTACATTTGTAGATAAAACCATTTCCCAGTTGTAATGCATTATGTCATGTATTATTATTATTACGTTACAAAACACACGTTACACACATGTTGCGTCACTAGCGTGCGCCGACGTCTCGGCCGTGAAAAGCAATTTGGGAAGACTACCTGGGAAGTCGGCAGAGGAAGTCATCAGCCAACATTTAAACGTTGGGGCTTTTGTGACCGTCTCAAGCGTCATGCGCTGGTTAATCTAGTCATTTCAGTGCAGTCCATGTGTAGCTGTTCTGCGTATTTACCATAGTGCTTCGCTGCGGTGTGGTTTACGTTTCCCACCGTCAGCAACAGTCAGACACGTTTAGCTTATGATACAGCCACAGACTGCAGGACGCACGGGTGAATGGGTTTGGTTGTTAGCAGGCACCCCAGCTAGCTAACGGTAGCTGAGAACAAATGAAACCATATCTGGTCAAAGCTGCTACGGAATCGACCACAAGACAACTGCAATTAAAGCCAAGTTAATGGTAGCGTAACGGGAACCCACGTATTGAGAGGGAACAAAATTACATCTTCAAGTCGAGAAACCAACAACAGCTCCGCTCTGCAAGATTGTGGCTATAGCTGGTAAGTTTGTTTACTTTATGGCTCAGGTAACCAGGCGTTGTTAGGCTGTGCTAATGTGGCATTTTATTTTGCTCAAATGAAAAATTACATCCCAGTCAGCCCATGTCTGCGAAGGTTTGTTAGTTGGATGGAATTTAGCGTTAGTTATTTACCGTCCATCTTTGCTAAGGTTCTAGTAGTTGTGTTCCACCTTCCGCTGTCTGGTATGTTCTGTGGAAGAGCAACAGTACGTCTCTATTCTACTGCTTTCAGACCTAAGCTTCCCAACCAAATAAAAGTCAGACAAGTTTACGGATTTAATTTTGTATTTGACCAATATCCAATTCTATACGTATAGTCTGCAATTGTGTTAAAAGTGCGCAGGATTTTTAAATGCAGGGATAGATAGACATACATTACTGTAAAGCTGAAGTATTGGTTTGGTTTTCTTTTACTCTATTCTCCAAAAAATTATTTTAAACCCAACATATTTGAAAATCTGTTCAAAATAACCAGAGACTATTCAAAACAAAGACAATAGATTTAGCATCAGAATGCTGTATGAATATACAAAACAAATAGAGTAAAATGTTATTAATGCACTAAGTTGCTTAGGCCTGTAATCCTTTTTTTTAAATTGATGATCTAAATCCTCTGCTCTGTAATTTTGCTGTTGGGTTACAGGTTTTTTTTATAGACTTAGACAAAGTGGCTATTGATGATCTAAATTCACTGCTCTGTAATGTTGCTGTTGGGTTACAGGTTTTTTTTTATAGACTTAGACAAAGTGGCACCACACTAATATTGCATAAAAGTGTGCAAATAGCTCCAAGTCTAACTGACCAAGGTTAGTAGCAACCGGTAAAAAAAAGTCAACAAAATAACACAGTAGCACACAAGCCACAGGCCACAGGCCACAGGCCACACAGTAGGCCATAGCAGACCCTTAAACCAGGGAAGGTACCAGGACAAGTGTACATGGGATCTGCTTTTATAAGAGAAAAGACTGCTGCGACAATGTGGCTGGTTTTGCCTAGCCTAATGTTATGCGAGTCTGGTTTGTTTACTCATCTCTGTTAAAGTGCAATGCACAACCATTTGCAAACTGTTTCTACGACATGCATCCATCCGAACGGGACTAGGAAGCTAACAAAAATGCGTGTGGAAAACTTATTTATAATTCCTCAATGAGGAAATATAAATAAGAGGAATGATTCGCAGAGCAAGCTGGCACACATCAAACGCACGGTAACAATGCGCTGTAGTTAACTGACAGGGATAAGCTCAAACTTGTTGGTAAACTAGGCTATAACCATGTCTCAGAAGAAATAAATTGCATATAAGAGCAGTGTTTCAACAGAAATACAAGTGTGCTGCCTGTCTTGTTATTCCGACAAATCCGTATGGCAGCCTTACATTATATGCCATCAATTTAAATAGGTTGCAATTTAAATCCTGCATCATATGCAGCTGTCTTTTATTGATTTTTAATTGCTCATAAATATGTTCCTGTCACTCCTTTGCATTTATGTTTATATATATATGTGTGTGTGTGTGTGTGTGTGTGTTTAAAAAAAGAAAGAAAAGGAGGAATAGTCACACTGAAAAGCTGACTGATAGTCAGCTTACAAAATACTTAGTCAGGTATAGCTCTAACATGCAGTAGGTGCCAGAGACTAAACATTAAAAATGAAAGAATAAAGACAACCACATTGGCATAAAAGCTTGAATGTACTCTGCAAATTCAGGGTTTGTGTTCATTTCACGCAAAACCATTGCAAATCACAATTGTCTGAAAGAGAGGAGAAGCACAAAGACTGGCGCACATGGCTGTCCACAGCATAACTCACTCAAGAATAAGCCCCACTGACGTTGAGTGGACACAGAAAGAGTCATGGAAATTCACTCTGGCTATAAGTTAAACAGCATAAGGAAATAATTTATTTTCTTTGTCTCCAATGGTAGTTTAAACATGTAGCACACATGCAAGACTTAGATAAAAAGACAATAAAACAGTGTTACATTTTTATTGATTATTGATTTTGGTTTCAACTATCTCACCACAGGGCTACAGATGGAGGACACTGCGATTATCTTATCCGCGCATTTGGAACATTCAGCTAATATGCCTTCTGCTGGACTGCTTTTGTAAATGTGGTTGCCATGGCTTCTTGCAAGGTAGACGAGCTTATAAGTGACACCAAGGATTTAGTTTCTGTCCCTGAACAGCTTTCCCAGTGTGGCCCCGATGACATCACCGATGAGCTTCAGCCTGATACGACAAATGCCACAGTGAAATCTCAAAAAGCCGGGAAATTTAAGAGGACTGCTCTGACATTTTTTGGAGTTCGTAAAAGTATCTGCATTTTACCAAGTTTTTTTGGAGGAAGGGGTAAAAATCAGAATAAGTGGTCTTCAAAGAAGGGAATCACCAAAAGCAGAACACATGATGGGTTAAGTAAGGGGGGTCACGATGACAGTCTGAGAAGTGGGTACACTTCAGCTGGAGATTTTGAGTACAGAAATCAGAGGGACTATGCCAGAGAGCTCCACAACAGCTGTCACGATGAATGTATTCACCCCACTGCTGACCAGAAATCGCTGACTCTCAGCCGGCAGAAAAGGGGGTTGAGGAGACTTTTTCATAGTTTTAAGCATCATAGAAACCATAGAAATGTTGGATTGGATAAAAGTGAAATGGTTGCAGTGTCTCCTCCTCATTGTAGCAAAGAGGTGTCTGTTATCCAGGACAACACCAACCAGAATGTCACAGAGTGCCTGGGATCTGAACCTGATGTGCCTGATTTTACAAATGTTATATGTGATATTTCCATTGGTCCTGAATGTAGTGAAACTGTTGCAGTGGCATTAAAGAAGGGGGTGGCACAAGAAAGCCCAAAGTCTGAGCTAGATGATCAGATGTGTGATGATCAAATGGAGGAAATTAATTTTGTAGTTTCCAGTGAATATGAGGAGATTTCTAGAGGACACAGTGAGCCCTGTCTGAAACTTGAGATGATGTCAGAGCCTGTATTGAAGTGTGAAACACCTGCTGGCTCATCGGATCAGCTAAACCTGATTTTTGGAGACGTAGCATCCTTAAAGAGCTTCGATTCACTCACTGGCTGTGGGGATATTATTGCAGATCAAGAAGATGACAGCATTACAGAGAGCACAGTTTCTGGAGAAAGAAGCAGAAATGGAGGAAAGAGAGCCTCTTGTTATCTTACTTATCAAGGTGGTGGTGAAGATATGGCCTCACCCGAAGATTTGGATGGAGGGTGTCTTCATGAATTCTGGGGAAACAGTGCTTCTGAAGAAATCTGTTGCACTTGTAATCAAGACCACACTGATTTGACTGCTGACCTGACAAGTACACACAATATGGACTTAGTGAGCAGTAACAGTGCGCATCAAGCCAGTGGCTTAGACACTTCTTCTTCGATTGCTGATGTGTTAACTCCTCAAAGTGAGCATCAAGAATCAGTTCCAAATAGTGATGAGGGGTACTATGATTCTACTACCCCAGGGCAAGATGAAGGCCAAGAAAAAACTGACAGGCTAAGGGTTGATAGATTACCCAGGGACAGTTACAGTGGGGATGCCCTCTATGAACTTTTTGCCCCTGATGAGAGTCTCCTTAGTCCACATTATGAAAACAAATCGAAACTGCCTGGTTCACACCAGTGTGAGTATTTAAGCGAGCCTTTAGATGTGACAGATTCTGCCTTTGTTTCAGAAATGAATCGATTACAAATAAGTACCGAACTGTATAAAGTTCATGATTTTCTAGAGATGCCAAGCACATGCAGTAACAGTTCAGAGCTGGCGCAAAACACGGTTGATTGGCAGGAGAATGGCGTGAATAAAAACTGTAATTTAAACTCAAATCCACAAGCATCAGTCAACAAGAATAATACAGAAGCAGATGGATTTGATAATATGCTTTCCTCCAGTGAAAAAAGAGCTAAATCTATAAATGCTGAGTGTGAGGAAAGGCACAGCAGCAGCATATCGTTCAGAAACACATTTGACCCTGATTTTGAAACATTTTGTGAACCCCAAGAGCAACATCTTGAGGAAAACAAGCCTGTGGCATTGCCATACAGAAATATCAGCTCTCAGTCTTCAGAGTCTAACGGCGATTTAGATGATGGGCAAACTGTGTGTTTCTCACAGGCGCTTGTGGACTACACAAAACACTCTGAGATGCTGAGTAACTTGCAGAACACTGTGGATGATTTGGAGCCAAACTCTGCCTTCACTCCAAATATGGAGGCCTTGCCTACTATAGTCACGTTCGATGTAGTGGATATGCATAATGAGGGTGAATACGATGAGCAGATTCCCATGGAGCTGGAGGAGCACATTTCATCACCCTATCAGGAGTTTGAAGAAAGCTACCTACAAAAAGATGCATTTGCTGAATGTGACTATCAAATTTTAGACCTGTATGAACAGAACCTGGTTAGTAATACATGGGCAATCGCTAGTCTCCCACGGCACTTAGGCCTTACAAGAGTCACCCAGTCCATACCTAGTCCACTGTCTCCAGACAGGAGAAGTAGGTCTCTAGACACAGAAAGTCTTGAGTTGAAGATGCCTGACACATACAGAGAGAACCGAGCAGGTGCCGTTTCCTGTCCTCCAGCTGAAAAGGACTTTGAAAGAGACCCCTCACTGAATTCCAAAAAAAATGTTCTCACATCTCCATCAGACCAGACACAGTCAGAGATGGCTTTAAACCTTCCTCTGACAGATGGGCAAATCACAGAGAACGTGCGGCGCGTCAATCAAGCTCAAGTGCAACACAAAATATTTTCCACTTCATCCAGCAGTGACTTTCCAAACAGTGAATCAGCTCATCTTTGCGCCGATGTGTCAGACTTAGTGGCCTGTGATTTAATGTCACAGAATACTGATCATTACAACAGACTGTGTCACCTTCCTCTGCAGACAGATTCTTGTTTACCTCATAGCACCTTTGTTTGTTCTGGAAGGATGGAGGAAGGATCAGATGATATTGACAATGATGTATTTTGTAAAGCTGCTACTAATTTGCCACATTATAACCAGTCTATTAAAAGCAGACCAGCAGCTAGTAGGGAAGGAATATCTCATACTGAGAGTCCTCTTGAAGCAGATATGTGTAAAGATGAAATGACTGTCCTCGGTGAAATAAGAACAGCCAGGGATGTGGTGTGCCCTGTAGCCTGCAACAAACTCCCAGAGGAAACCTTTAATTAAAAGGCTTCTATACATACAGCTGACATTAAGATCACATGTATATGTGCCAATAAGTGCTTTTATGGTGTGTCCAACTGAGAAGTTGTTTCTTAATTTTTCCTTAAATCACTGATTCGTTTCAAAAGCTGTACACATCTCATTATAGACAGGTCACCGTCTTATTGGGAAGTGAAAGGGATTTTCTACTTTTGCAAGTAACAGTTGTCACATACTGTCAATTCACTTAGGGTATTTAAGGGAGTAATTGTTTCATTAGCACTAGATATGCTCACAGATTCATCTCATTAAGATATTTAATTTTACTAGAATGTTTATGTGGCCTCAGTATTCAGGTATTAGTAATAATGCCACACTTTGTTGAACTGGTATTTGTGAGCTAGACTAGCCAAGTCTTGCCTACTTTGCAAACTGCCTCCAAGCACATATATTCACATAGTTTAAGTTCCACCTTGTGTTTGTGTTTACTGCATTTTCACAGGTTCTCCTTCAGAAAGGTTCATGTTGACCTGTCTCAATGCTCAAATTTGAAGGTTCTAGCTGCTCTCTCTCTCTCTTTCCTAATTTTAGACCAGACTGGGTTTAGGAAAGGAGAGGAGTATTTCAGAGGGAACATATCTCAATCCACAGACAGGACTAGCTCAGTCCACAAAGTAAAATGTCTTCATACCTTCTTGGGGTATACTGTATTGTTAAACACAGTATACTATTATTGTATTTTGCTTAGCCTCAAACTATTATGGCAAATGTACATATGGACTTGTATTTTAACTTCAGCTGCCATTTCATTTGCGTACTGTAGACAGTTCTTACAAGGCAAAGCTACTTCATTTGTATAACACATTTCACAATTACCCGGCATAGGAAAGTGCTTTGCATAAGACACTGAAGAAACATCCACGGTGGAAAGGGACAAAAAAACATCTAACACAGTCTCAAACTTGCTGTCTGACTTTGGTCCCATTTCCCAACAGCTTGACCACCTGTAAAGTGCAAAATTCATACTGAATGATGCACTCCATTACTGCATTATTTGTGGAATGAAAAGCTATTTTTATTTTGTTTGGAATTGAAATGATATTTAAATAGATAAAGTGGTATTTTCATCTTATATCATTTTCTTGTGAATTTAAAGTTGGCCAGAGGTTAAACTGTCAGATGATGTAGTTTTTATAGTCTAATATTGAACAAATGTCAAAGACTTTGTATTTATATTCTCAGCTATTTGTACACTGTAACACTGTATTCAGAATGGTTATTACAAATTAGTAATATTTTGTTTGTTTTAAATTTTGGGTTTTTTTTCCTTCAAAGTTAAAGTACATCCATGTTACACTACAGGTTTCCTCTTGAAAATCTATTACTGTTTTGTCAGAATAGAAGACTGCCTTACATTTACATAAATAAACCATGACAAGATATATTTTTTTCATTTTCTTTCATTTGTTCCTGTTCATAGTCCTGGGGAATCTGGAGCTTCTTCCAACCAAGTCTAGGCAGAATAGTAGTCTGTTGTAGTGTTTAGACATAGGCATATACATTAACACTGACACTTCCAAGCAGTATAGTTTGATATGAAGCGGTTCACTGGAATAACTGCAGAGAGTGTACAGATGACTGCCCCATGTCAGAAATATGTCAGTACAGCACTACTGTGTCATTAAAACAGTAATAGGTCGATGGGTTCTAAGTCAGCCCCCAGCAAAGTGAGGGTTGGTTTAGCTAACTGTCAGCCTAATGGGAAAGCGGGGTGAGTCGGAAGAAGACCACTGGATCCACAGTGAGTGTCTGTGCAATGAGAACACAGTGGGCTAATTTATTGTGGGGTCAAATAATAGTAGTCAAAGAGTTGATACAACATTTATTAGAATTTACATTCCAAATTCACTTTCTGCTAGCTATTTCCCTGTATGAATCTATGATAAATCTGTCTTTGTTTGCAAGACTCACTGTTGTGGTTAATATCCCTTGTTTTCAGAAGGCAACCTTCACACAGGTAATGGCAGTTCTCAAATTGTTACACGCTACAAAGAACGAATCATAAAAGCTATGGTTTTATGAACACGGGACATCTTTTAAGTAGAAATCAAGTCTATAATTGTGTTCTGATCCCGGTGTCTTTTCACAACTTAGGTTACTTGTTTCCTTTGCGTTATCTGGCAACCCTGACCAAACTGCGACAGCGCCAATGGCAGCAAAACATAACTGTTACAGGCAAGGAAGGATGACAGCAATAAGGTGAGATGAGCCCTGTTAGAAGTGGATGATCGCAGTGATTTACGTGCAGATTATGTAGACAGTCGTGTTGTGCTGCTGTGGTTTCACCTCCGTCTGAAATGTTAAACGATCGTCAACTTTATTTTAAATCACTGTAGTATTCCGGCAAAAAATATTAGCACACGGTCGGCAGCTACGGCTAACTAACATTAGCAACCCGACGTTTAATTTAGCATGTGGATCCATAGAGTTGGCTTATTATTATTCTGTGTTAGCTAACTGCATAGCTTTGCTACGTTACAGTTAACCAGCTAAATAGAGACCAAGGGTACCTGGCAAGCTTGGTGGATAGCGTTAGCCAACAAAAACAGTTACCTAATCGCTCTCCAACGTTAGCCTTTGAATAACTAGATAAAACGATGTAGGCCGGCGAATTTATGTTGCTAAAATGTTGACTCTCCAGTTGGCTAGGTGATGTTACATTAGCTGGCTAGCGTGTGCTAACCGCAAATCTGGGCCTAAAGATGTCAAACCATTTATCTAATCAGGTTAAATCACAGAGGTGACGTAGTGTGCATTAGCTAATGGTCATGTTATAACGTTATACGATATATAGAGTATTGAATGTATGAGACTGATGTACTGTAAAATTGCTTAACCTTCGTCCATTTCATCCCTATCAGCTAATGTCAGTTTTTTTGTATTGATAGCTGGTTAGCTGATGAATGCAGTGATGTGGTCCATCCAAGTTAGCAGTTACAAAGGTTTCCTGTATGATCACTGTCATTGAGATCAATACAGGGTTTGAATTTAGTTGTATATGTAGTGAAGTAAAGGCAAAACTTCAAGATTTTGTTAATACAGTTTAGGTTTTTTGTTAGTACTCTGCTAAAAGGATTTTTTTTTGGTTTATGATTTGAAATATTTCCAGTCTCAAGTGTTTTAAACAAATAATTAGATGACTCTGTAAAAAGCTCATTCTACAAATAAATTCCCAAATTATTCAGATGAAAACTTTAAACTGGTTAAGGAGAAGCTCTCTTCAATAGAGCAAAGTTGGTTTGGACTTGGGTACACTTTGATAATGGGGAAAATGGGGGAGCGCATGAAGCAAAATGTTGACCATGGTCATATTTGCATTTGTGTTTAATTCATGAGATCCATGTGTCCTAATACTTAAGTACTCTAAACTTACAGTGCATGTGACTACATTTATAACTGAAAAAAAAAAATATTCAAAGATTTGCAAGTGGTACCTTCTTTCCTGCTTGACTTTGTGCATGACCATTACAGCATTTTTGCATAGCAAGTGACGAGCTGGCCACCAAGATAACAGCTAAAAAAAAAAACTCTGCATAGATGATGCACCAGGCACACCCAAAATGTATACCTAGGGATTTGTGTTGAGCAACGTAAGCCAAGTCAGACCTTATGATTAGGGGGAAAAGAATTAACATTTTATCAATGATACATCTGTCTTTTCTTGGTGAAGCTTGGCTAGTTTGACACACTGGAACAGATCATCTACTGTGGTCATGAGATTTTGCTAACTGTGTTGTCATCCTTTTATGTGTAAGATGACCCATAAACAAATCCTGCAAACACATAATGTAATGATTCTCAAGCAGAATTCATTCTTTTCATTGTAGCAGCATAAAGTGAGATGGCCACACATTGCCGTCATCTGATCAAGGTAAATTAGGAAAAATAATATTTTCTTGGGCCTTCGCTCGATTGCCGGCTGGGATTGGCTCCAGCCCATTCCAACCCACCCCACCCCATTTGGGACTGAGTGGTATAGAAGATGAATGAATATTTTCTTGGTTCTATGTCCTGGATGGTTGACTTTTTACTGTGACTATCCCTTGGTTTTAAAACAATATGTTATATCTTGGTCCAAATACTCCTCATGATTGTGCCAAAAAATCTCTGTCTTCAGGTTCAGAACACATGATCAGCTGTTGCAGGAGCATCTCAGTTTTGTACTTTTGGCATGATGGGGCTTTTAAAAAGTGGTGGCTAAGCATGCTGTAAGTCATAAATATCTTTACTAGACTCTGGCTGTGATGATATTTTGTGTTCAGATAGCAAAATAGTAAAGAGGAAGAGGTAAATGATCAAACTGTCAACTTCGGAATGACTTTTTTACATAGCAGTGTATTAGTTTTTGAGCTGTCACAGTAACAGTTACATTTCCTGTTCCTCTAACTACTGGATTATTGGTGTTCACTGGTGGTTAGCTTTACAGTAAGTCATTTCAAGATATCTAACTACCCAAGCATTACATGTAACAACCACTGACCATAATGCAGTTTAACCCAGCTCCTGACTGGATACTATGGAGGGTCAGCAGTGTAAAAGATGGCTTCAGGGATCTGCTTCACTTGTTGCTATGAAACGGAACTACACGATCCTGTGCATGTGCAGTGATAGTCTGGAGGCCTTGCTGAGTCTAAGCCTGTGAATCTGGAGGTGGAAGGGAAAGGACTGGATGAATGCTGCTTCCTAAACCATGTCTTGACATGGTCATCAAATGTCTCAAATGGCTGTGTGAGCCTTTATACTGTATTTGTTGCTAATCCAAGAAGTCCTACAAAAGGGCCTCAACATCCCTTTTATATTAAGTATTTGTTTTCAATTTAAAACCTTAGTTTGCTCTCCATTCTTGTCATACTAGTTCTTGCAAGACTGTTTTTTAAGCTGTAGGGTGACCCTCAAATATCTGTCACCCTGAAGTGTCTCCCATGAATGTCAGTGCCTGTCAAATGTATGTAGTATTTGCTATTTTATTAAATTAATCAGTAGAGATAGTATAAATCTCACATCCATTTGTTTAATACACACATAGTAATCCAGATTGCTCTTTTTTTCCCCAATGGTCAGCACTGATAGATATATGAGTATTGTCATTTTTATTGCAAAATATGCTGCCTCAAGAGTTTTAGTGTGGAGTTGTAGTATAGCTGTAAATATTCTGCATTTACTGGCTGCCTGAAGAGAGATGATGAGCTGTGTTTGTGTTAGTCGTGACTGGTAAAAAGGAGTTAGCTGATGACAAGGCTGTGTTGCTAAGCAACCTACATCATCGACTGCGCCTCTTGAAGCTTGGCGCTGGCTGTTTTCTACTCTCTGCAAGACTGGGGGAAAGTGTAGTCTAGTGTTTCTGTTCATTAAGGTGCTCATTATTAACATGAATTTGATTATCAATATTAATATATAAACATGTACAAATGGAGCTGGTGACAGTGCGGTTTATATAGCAATTTCCTACTCTGCCTTAGCATAAAATGGCATTGTTCCCTAAGGAATTCTGTTCATTTGATATTGTCTGTCAGAGGGCCAGAGGCACAAGGAGTGCTGTTCAGCCCACTCTTTGTCTCAGGTTATGTTAACTAATGCACTCACCACATGTTTGTCTGGCTTGAATGTGGCTTGTGAGACCTGTAAGGCATTTGTGCTCATAGAGGTGACAGTTTTTCTGCAGTAAAGCCCGGTAACATGTTCTGTGCATGAACATGGGGTTTCATTTTATAAGCATTAGGCTAGATACACAGGAAATTTTCTATATTTTTCCATATAGTATCTGCAAGCAGGAAGTGAACAGTGACCTTGTTTTTGCATTTGCTTATGGTGAATAAATACAACAGTGCCTAGGAAACAGTATCTACAATACAAAATATGTGTTACATTTTTTAGTGATATGCAGAGATCTAAAAAACAAGACTACCTCTGTGAAGTCAGGGAAATGGAGGAAACTGTCACTGTCACGCATATCATATTCTTGAGAACTGTTGCCTAACTTCTGCAATATTCACATTTCCTTTACCTACTTTGTTGATGTTTTTCTTATTGCATGCTGTAGAATTACAGCTTTAAGTGCGTCATTTTTGCAAATCTTTAAGAAATAATGGATGGTAACCTATTTGGGCAGTTGACCAATATGTTGCATTTGTCTGAATAACCTTGTCATTGACCTCAGATAGCAGTTTTCCCACAGGTGGAGGAGAAGGGTGGAGCAGTGATGGTGCTAAAGATTCTTAGGTGCATTAAAAGATGAATGAATTGTCAAGCTAATAGACAGCTGCTCTGCTATCATGCTACACTTCCAAAACATTTTGTAACTGATACTTTCACTGTGTTTTTGCTCTTTTTCAGGATTACATAGTTTGATTTTACTTGCTCGCATAGGGGGAGACCGTGTTACTTTGGCCCTACACAAACAGTTTGTAGTGCTAAAGTCCAGCACAGAATATGGTTCCCTGGTTGTGGTGGAGGTGAGGAAGCATGGGGTGGAAATCTGAGGTGTCAAGACGAACGTGATGACAGCATGGTCCACGGTGGAGAAGCTCAAAATGGAAAAACGCCCATGCAGGGAGGAGAACATTGACTCAAGCAAAGCCCAGCATGTCACTGATGAGGACGGAAGCAGCTCAGAAGGGAAGATCGGCAATGCCAGACTGTTCAGGTGAACAACAGTGGCTGTAAGAAGCGGGAGCCCTTGACTGTCACGAAACCCCATCGACAGCTCTGTCGCTCTCCATGCCTTGATCGGCCCAGTTTTTCCCAGAGTAGCACAGCGCAAGATTTTCGTGAAGATGAGACCAGTGCAGGAGCTGGGATCAAGCTTGCCAGTGACAAAGAGTACCAGACTAAGATGGACTTTGCTTTGAAATTGGGCTATTCAGGAGAGCAGGTGGAGACTGTGCTCAGCAAGTTGGGGTCTGCAGCTTTAATTAATGACATTCTGGCTGAGCTAGTGAGGCTTGGCAACAAAGTAGAGCCTGAAATCCAGCCTAGCAGCAGTACGGCCACATTAGTATCACGGTCCCCCTGTGTGAAAGAGACTGTCCAGAGTCCAGAAGTGTCAGTGGAAGATGAACCTGTGGATACCTTTGATAACCTCAGACCTATAGTCATTGATGGCTCCAATGTGGCAATGAGGTAAGACACCGATGAACATACACTCATATTTAATTAATCTGTGCTTCATGCTGAATGCACTTATGTTCTGAAACATTTATCTCTAATGGATATTTGTTTCTTGATGCTTAAGTACACCTTATCCCATGTTTTTTTATTTTCTAGCCATGGAAACAAAGAGGTATTCTCTTGTCGTGGCATCCAGCTTGCTGTTGAATGGTTTCATGAGAAAGGACACAAAGACATCACAGTGTTTGTCCCAGCTTGGAGAAAGGAACAGTCAAGGCCTGATGCTCTCATCACAGGTAGTAAAGCTGTTTTTTAGGCACTTGCTTAACTTAGTAGTTTTGTTGTTAACATTTATGTAGAACAGGGCAACACTGAGCCTTCCGTAGTGTATTTGACTGAAGCATGACCTTGTGGCGTGCTCATGGTCAGCAAATAGAGGGTGCTAGATCTCTCCCCAGCATTTAAATTAATTGATGATACACCCCATTACATACTATTGACATCCCAATACATTGTGATATAGAGTAGGTTTTGATTATTTTGATGGTGCTATGACATGCTGTTAATCAACATTAAAACTTAACTGAAACCTGTCTTTCAGATCAAGAAATATTACGCAAGCTGGAAAAAGAGAAGATACTAGTTTTCACCCCATCTCGGCGAGTTCAAGGCAGGAGAGTTGTGTGCTATGATGATCGCTTCATAGTGAAGCTGGCTTTTGATTCTGATGGAATTATTGTATCAAATGATAACTACAGGGACTTG